AAATTCAAAGCCAGCCTCAGCAACTTAGCAAGGCCCTAAGCAACTTAGTGAGACCCTGTCTTTAAATAAAAAATATAAAGTAGGGCTTGGGGATGTGGCTCAGTGGTTAAGCGCCCTTGGGTTCAATCCCCAGTGTTGCAAAATGAAAAAAGAAAAGATGGTAAATTTTATATTATAAATATTTTACAAAAAAAAAAGAGAGAGTGTGTGTGCATTTTGTGGTGTGTGAATTGTATAAAGCTTTAAAAATGTTACCAAGAGGGTCCCTCACAAACAGAACACTGGAAGAAACAGGCAACAAATAAAAAGGACAAACCCAAATATCGCCATGAAAGGTGCTGCAGAGAAAGCAAAATCAGGTAACGGGAAGTGAGGAAAGGTATCAGGCCAGTCACCACATGGGTAAGTGCCTGGACAGGAGCCACAGGAGAGGCTCAGCTTAGAAGAGGCTGCAGCCTGTTCAGGGGACTGAGGAGGGAGATATGGTAGGCACCCAGGGAAGTGGGCGGGACAGAGCCAGAGGTCAGCAGGGCCAGGGCACACCAGGCCTCACCAGGATGCTGTCTGGGGCGAGGGGAGGTATGGTAGGACTTGGGTTTTCAGAGCATGGACAGGGAACTGGGGGCTGCTCATGAGGCGGATTCAGGGTCCTAGTGAGGAGCTCCAGGGTGGACATGGATTTGGAAACTGATGGGACTTGCCAGTGGGTGGGTGTTGGGGGAGGAGGTCACAGGTGTCAGGATGGCCCCAAACGGCCTCCTCTGTCCATCCTGCCCTCACAGGGGTCTGGATGGCCCCAAAGCCGCCCTCCCCAGCCTTCTGCCACAGGGCAGCACCCCCTCTATAGGCCCCCAGCCAGGAACTCATCAAGAGATGGAGAGTCAGTGCCACCCATGGCACTTCACAGTGTGTCAGGGGCTTTGCTTACAGCCAAACAGAGGAAAGGCAGCTGATGGACCCAACCAACCTGTTCTGGAGGCCCCTAGCTGCTTTACGCTGTTTGCAAGGATGTCTGAGCAAAGGCAAACCCAAAGCATGTCCTGATGGCTGAGGGCAGAGCTAGAACCCAGAGCCTCACTTTACACGTAGAGAAACAGGTCCTGAGAGGGTAGGAGCTTGGCCCACGTCCCCGGACACTAGGATATCTCTCCCATGTGCCTTTCTGCCTTAAGCCTCCAGGATCCCCAGCCCCTCCCCTCTGCATCCCATCCTGGTTCCTCCAGAGACCTTCCCTGAAAACAGGAAGCCAGGAACACAGTGGTTTCAAACGCTCTCTTCCCACCACCCAGCTTCCATCCTAGCTCTCCCTGTGTTCCTTGGGATGGGACCTGAGCACTAAATTCTGATGGCACTTTGAGGATCATGGTTCTTACTTGCCTCCTGTGGCCAGTCTTTCCTTCACACCCATCCACTGTAGCAACAAGAGATGACCTCTCAGGATCCAGCTGAAATGGGTCCTCATGCCTTGAATGGGACCCGTCATTTCCTGCTTGGACTATTGCAGTGGCTCCTACTCTGGTCTCCTTATCACCACCCTCCCCACTGATACAGTCCATTCTGCCCCTAGCAGGTCTGATGGCTCTGGGAGACCACAGCTCCCCACCCCAATGAACCTCACATGGCATGGCTCACCTGTCTGCAGTCTGAGTTCCCACACCATCCCTTCCCCTCACCATCCAGCCACTACAGCTGTTACATGCCTCCTGCCTCGGAAAAGGCTCCTTCTTGCTAAGGCCTCGGCACCAGCTGTTCCTTTCTCTGATCATGTTCTTCCCCACTCTGCCTCTCATTCAGATCTCAGCACCCCCATCTGCTAGCACCACATCACCCTAAAGGTTCTGTTTTTATTACCCAGAAATCCTTAATCACTGAGCAACATCCCCAGCCCTTTTTATTTTTTATTTTGAGGCAGAGTCTCACTAAGTTGCTGAGGCTGGCTTTGAACTTACAATCCTCCTGCCTCAGCCTCCCAAGTGGCTGGGATTACAGGCATGCACCACCATGTCCAGCTACCCTAAAGGTTCTGGTTTGCACTGTTTTCTTATCTCTTAGTTTATCCTGTATTGAAGAATCCTGGGGTCTACCACATAGTGGGCACTCAAAAAATTCTGGGCTTGGGCTGGGGTTATGGCTCAGTGGTGGAGCACTTGCCTCACATGTGTGGGGCATGGGTTCAATCCTCAGCACCACATAAATAAAATTTTAAAAATGAAGGTATTGTGTCCATCTATAACTAAATTTTTTTTTTAATTGCTGGGCTTTGTGGGGCACACTTATAACCCCAGCAACTCGGAAGGCTGAGGCAGGGAATTGCAAGTTCAAGGCCAGCCTGGGCAACTTATCAAGATCTTCTCTAAAAATTAAAAGGGGTCTGGGGATATGACTCAGTGGTAGAGTGCCCCTGGGTTCAATCTACAGCTCCATAAGAAAAAGAAAAGAAAGACATGTCTGTCAATGCAATTAAGGCACTGATGAATGATAGCTAGCTGACTCCCTGCGGAGTGCTGGGTGAACAGTAGTGACAACAGGAGGTGGCCATCCTCACGTACTTCACAGTTTAGCTCTGTTTTACCCAATTTCACATACTTTGCTGGCTCTGGAGCTGCCCTTGAACCACAGCCCACACACTGGCAGCCTGTGGGTCAAATATAACTTACAGAAGTGTCTTGTTTGACCCAGTCTATGTTTTTTTTAAAAAACATGAGGTAACATTTAAAAATCAGTAGGCTTCACGCACAAATCTAAATTTTGTTTGGACAATGGGAAGGTGTGGCCATGCTGTGTTCCAGTCCCCAAATGACATGCTGTGACTGCCTGTTAGATAAAAGGCATGTTCTCCACAGTCCCCACCACTCTCCAGTTTCCCTGACAGCCAGCGCCCAGGACCTTCTATCACAGTTTAGCAAGACTCTTTTCCTCATAATTAAGAAATCAGCTCTGACTGTCCCTACCAAAAATTGGCACATGAAAGGCAAATGGGTCACACAAGTCAAGAAAAAAATAGGATATTCATTCATCCCACAAGTATTAATTGATAACTATCTTCATTCCAGGTTCCATAGTGGATGCTGGAACTATAGCAGGGGCCAGCATGGATAAAGCACTCTTCCTCCTGGGACCTCACTCTGTCCGCTGTAGCTCTCTTGGCACCAGTGGAGATGTGAGACTGGCTGGCCCCACCCATTTGACCTCCCCACCTGGCCTCCTGTGCGTTTCAGTTTCTCCCCTGATGAGAAAGCCTGCATTTATGTTGGGGGGTCATCTGTGTTGACCTCATAGATGCTCCTGAGCACCTACTGCCTACCAACCCATCAGGGACTAACACAACAGAAGTGCTCAAGAAAAACCTGTGGAATGGGGAAGCTCATTTCACCTCTCTCCTAGATTATTTATCAATGCTTATCAATGTTTCTCCAGGATTTACTGTCAAATGCCAGTGCCCAGCGGGTGCTCACTTAATGTCAGTTGGAGGAATGGGTCCAGGATCAGAGGGGAGGGTGACAAGGGAAGTGTAGGCTTCCTGAAGACAGAGCCCTGGAAGAGGAAGGAAAGGGGCAGACTAACAGCCCCTGGCAAGAGCTCATGTCTTCCTCTCAGTAACCCTGGAGGGACACCTGAGGACAGCCCCTTTGCCAAACTCAGACTCTCGAAGTCAGGGAGGAGCAGGCTTGGCTGCCTCCTCACCTACATAGAGGACTGACTCCACAGGGTGGGGGGATGTAAATGGTCTCTGAAAAACAGCCTCTCACTCTTGAAAATATGTCACCTTCAACTAGATGCCTGAGAGCTTCAGCCACTTCTCTTCTGACTCCTGTATTGCTCATTTCCCTACAACCTGTTCCAGCAAAAGCTTAATACTATGTGAGAAAGGTGTAGTGCTGTAGGGACTCTAAAATGTTAGGGGGGGCTCCTATCCCTGCACTTAGTGGGTCAGCTAGTAAAAGAAACCCAGTCACAGAGGCCACCAAGCACTCCTGGGCAGGGTGGTGGATGTGGGGTATCCCTCCAACTGAGCCTAGCGATTAGTAGAATGTGGCCAGTGGAGTAGGGTGGAGGCAGAACCTTTGCCCCTCGGGGACGGTGACTGCAGAAAGAAAAGGCTGGGCCTGAGCACGTCTGGGTTCCTCGCCCTCAGCTCTCCTCCAGCCTCACGGAACCTGACATCCCGTCTTTGAGATAGGAGACAGGAGACAGGAGAGTTGGACGATGTTGTAAGCCCAGTGACCAAGGTGCTGGGGTTTTGTACCATGTCGGTGGTACAGCGCAGTCTAAATGCTTACTGCCAAGCCTTCTCCGGGCAGAAGGGGCAGAAGACTCTAGCTGGGGTCCTGGGGACCCAATGGGCGCTGGGTGTATATTCACATGTGCGTCCCGCCTCCCCGACTGCGCGCTCCTGCGGCCCGCGTGCCTTTCCGCACGAAGCCTGCACCCAGCAAATACCTCTGGATTGAACCACGAATTGCTCAGTCGGGCCTTCGGGATCCCGGCCGCTTGGGCGCAGGCCCGGTTCAACAAGTGAGGGCCGAACCGCGGGTTCCCGCCCGGCGGCTTCGCGCCTCCCTAGGCGCCTGGGGCGCGTCAGGCTGGGCCGGGCCCAGTTGGGCGAGTTTCATTTCATCACCCGCTGGGCGTGCGAGCGCCGGTGCAAATAACGTTGCCCTCCCCTCCCTCCTCTTCCCAGCTCCCTCCCAAACTCCCGTTTGCAAACGCTAGCACGCCCGGCTGGCAGGTCCGGGGCGGTGGCCGGGTCGGCTGGGCAGCTGGAGCTGCAGGGGACTGGGTGCCGGCGCCCGCCCCCGCCCGTCCGCCCCGCCCGGGCCGCGAGGCCACCTCACCGGCAGCGGAATGGAAACCGGTTCGACAGGTAACAAATAGGTGGGTTGTCACCGTTATTTCCCAACGCATGCGCCATCGCTCCCCAGGCTACTCCAAGCTAATTAGATCAGATCACCCCCCTCCCCGCCCAGCCACCAACACACACCGCCGCGAGCCAATAAAGCGTGAACCTGTCTGTCCGGCTCGCACTTTAAGACTTCCCGAGCGGCCGAGGGGACGCCAGTCGAGTCAGGAGACGCCTACCTGCCGTTTCCCCGTCGCCCAGTGCACTTGGCTGCAAGGGCTCTGCTACCGAGGGACCGCGACACTCCGCGAAGTTGGAACGGGCGCGCGCCGTCCCAGCACTGTCTTCTCGCGGAACGTGGGGGCGCCTCGACGATTCCTCCCCTGAACTGTCCGCTTCCTGCGCCTCCGAGCCGGCCCAGGAAAGGTGGGACGACCCGGTTCTAGTTGCGGAAACGGACCGCGCCGGGCCAGGAGCGTTCGAAAATGCCCCGCGCGTTCCTGGTGAAGAAGCCGTGCGTCTCCACGTGCAAGAGGAACTGGAGCGAGCTGCCAGATGAGGAGCGCGGCGAGATCTACGTGCCAGGTGAGGCGCCTGCAGCCCGCGGCGCCCGCGGCGGCGGGAAGGCGGGGCGCGGAGATGAGCGGCTCTGCGCCCGCCGCTGAACACCAGGATGCAGGTTGCCGCGGCCGCGGCTCCGTTAGCCCGCGGCTGGGTGACCCCGGGCACGGGGAGGAGAGGGCTCGCGAGCGGAAGCAGCGTCGGGTGGGGGCAGGGGCCATCTCCCTCTACCGGCCCCGAGCCACGGCGTAGGGGAGGCAGCGGGGTGTGTCACCGCTCTGGCGACCCTCGGCTCTCGAGTCGTAAATCCAGAAAGCGGAGACTTTGATGAAGCACGAGGAGGGCGCTGGAGCGATGCCACTTTAGGGGGCAGGGAACGAGATGGAGTTTCAGCTGAGGCTTTGCCACTTAGATTCTGAGCCTTAGCCGCTTCCATAGGTCTTTCTCCCTTCGCCACAAATTTGGTGCCAGGTGGGGACGCGGGCGAGTATCCCCAAGTTGCCCTGCGGCTCTAGCCCCGCGGTCTGCACAGTGCGCAAGCGGGATAAGAAGGCGCCGGCTTGCACCCAGCCTGCCCTTGAGACAAAGATGGGATCGGTTCTCACCTTTGTTAGAAACGCGATCCTTCAACCCTGCAGAGGATACACGGAGCGGAAGGTAGTTTTAAGGAGCCCCCCCCAGCCAAAGACAAGCCCGCGGAAGCTGGTGCACCCAGTTTATTTTGAGAAGACGCCTTGACCAGTGTCCGCGTCCACTTTGAATGAGTAATCCGAGTTGTCTTCCTTTGAGGCACCTTCCTAGGGTCCCTGAGGACGCTTTTGCTCCTTCTGTCCTCCCCCTTCCCCCGACAAAATCTTTGGTCAGGAAGCCTTGGCAACTCCCCTTTTCCGACCGTGGGGGTGGGGTGGGGGCTGCAGTCAATACCTTGCCCAGTGCCTCCAAGGAAGGAGAGGTGGTAATTAACCAACCGACTTTGACCCTTGATCTGCAGATTCCCTGGCACCGCCTGGGCCTTAAGGAAAGTCAGGAAATGAGGGCATCAGATGAGGGGCCAGTGAGGGCTCTTGCCTCAGTCTCCCTCTTGAATTAAACTGTTGGGGGCAGGGGCTTGGGGGTAGGGTTTTTGTGGCCTGAGCTGCCAGGATCCTATGACCTGAAGCCAGGGTGGGATGTGTCACAGCTTAAGCTTATCTCATGGGGGCTGGGCCATCCTTCTGTAGCCTCTTTAAACATTGGAATGATCCCAGTAGGGAAACTGAGGCAAAAAAGGAAATGAGTGTCTCCCTATCTAGGTGGGAGTGGGCTAGGACTGTAGTTTTTAGCTGGCTGTGTTCCCTCACCAGCTGGCCAGTGCTCCACCTCCGGAAGGACCAGGGAGAGGCCAGCCCCTTCCTTGCTCCTACCTCCTCCCCAACCTGTGTTTGACTTGCTGCTTAGCTGCTCCATGGGATCTGATAAACTGAACTTGGACTATGTTAAAGGTGAGCTGAGCCTTGGGCCCGGCTCAGAGTGCTGTTATTTTTAGTTTTATTTCCCATCCCATTTAGTAACAGATCACATATCGACTTTTACAAAGGACAAAGAAATTCCGCTTGTTCAAATCATTGACTTCCTTGGGTCCTAACAATTTTCCCCATAAGAGTTTTGGTGGCCAAAGTGGGAATGGTAGAAGAGACCTGGGCCCCGGGACTGTCCCATCAGGGGCAGGGGACGACTCCTAGGTGGACAGTTCATCTGCCACTACCGTCCAGGTGGAGGAGTGTACAGATGCTCACTCTGCAAGATGGTCCTGGAATGGAGGGCAGGCTGACCTCGAGGGCCATGGTAAAACTTGCCCCTGTGGCTCTGGCAGTGGATGAGAGTTCCGTGGGCCAAGTAAAGGGCATAGGTTTTACCTCTAAAGGCCACGTGACCCACTGGAGAATTTTCCCACAATTTTTGAAAATGAGAAAGGGAATGTCCTTGGGCCACGTTCGGACGCTTCAGATGGCTGGAGGGGGCAGTTATGTGGTGGCCTGTCCTCTGGCTGGGCCATTCCATCACCAACCGACCATGACCCCAGGAGTCGACTGGGCACGTTTCCGTCACCCCCACCTCACAGACTCTCAGCACTTGTGACCAGCTAAGCACTGACCCCTTTCCCAGGGAGGGCAGGGGAACATGCGGGTGTCTGGATTTTGACCTTCCTGCCGGGGCCCTTGAGACACTCAGAGCATCAGAAGCTCCCTGGAATGAGTGGCTGAAAGTACTGGGCCCAGTCCCAGTCTCATAAGTACCTCAGCCTTCCTCCCCCAGGCAGAATTCTACAGGTTCCTCTCCCAGGGCAGAATCTTTCCCTGAGCCCCCATCATCCTCCCAAAGCTAAGGGGAAGCCCTGGTCAGCTGGGTCTGGAATGCAGGCAAGGGAGAAGAGAGCCCCTCTGCCCTGGGATCAGGGGAGGTTAGTGGATAGGATGCTCGCTCTTGGGGGCCTTGACCCCTTATCTTCCCTCACCTCCCGGGGGCGGGCTTCTCTCCTCAGTTGTGTCAGTATTGACTGTGGAGTAACAGGAGGATGCTGGTTTCTGGAGGATGAACCGGGTACTTGTACCTGTTACTTCCACTTGGAGGATGATGCGTCCCTCCAAGCCTGGCCCCTGCTGAGTGAAGTCTAGATGTCAAGGAGGCACCTGGGGAAAGACCCGTCTTGGAAGCTGGAACTCCAGGAGCATCCCTGGGGCCTCAAAGAACCCCAGACTCCCACTCCTGGGCCTCCCCTCTGGCTGCCAGCGGCCGCTTTCTGCTGGTTCTGCAGCAGGGCACAAGGCCAGGAGGCCAGTGGGGCTGAGCTGCAGGAGCCCGGGGTTTCCTTTAGATAATGCAGCTGGGCCTCGCTCTGCTGTTAGCAGTGTGGGACTTGACCATTCTTTTTCCAGGCTGAGTCAAAAAGGCAGAGAAAATCAGCTTTGGACCCCAGAATAGGGGTGGGAGCGGTGGGAGAAGCTAGGTTTCCAATGAGTGTTCTAGTGACTTCTGGAAGTGCTGGGCAGTGGAGTGGGTTTGCTGTGTCCTCTTGGGAGAGAGGCTGGGAGGGGACAGCCAGTTAGTGCCTGGGACAGAAGAGCAGCTTGTGCCCTAACTGGTAGGACTCCTACCAGTCCCATGGGGCACTGTCACTGAAGCTGCTAAGCTGTTTGTCCCAAGCTTGGGTGTCCTGTGGCAGAAGCTGCCAGACTGTCCCAGAAAGAGAGCAGGTGAGAGCAAGTGCCCTGGGTGCACAGAGGATGAGGACTGAAGCCTGGCCATCATTGGTGTCGGGTTCCTTTTTACCATTGTTCATCCTCTGGCATCCTATAGGGCCCCACAGGCCTGTGCTGGGCAGGAAGATGAAGGATGCCACAGGAAGTGCAGTTCCTGGCTGGCCAAGCCACACACACTGGTGTGAGGACGGAGGGCACAGTTCTGACTTCACCATGGACACTGAATGAAAAGCAGTCAAGAACGGGGCAGATATCGCCCAACAGAGATGGCAGCAGAAGGCCGAAAGATAGGTCCATGTGTCCCCAGGCTGCTGCCCTGCTGGATAGCAGATACTGCTCCTTTCAGAGGATTGCCAGCTGACCTGCAGGACTGGGCACAGGGGAACCCAGCCCTTGTTGATAAGGGTACAAGGCTGCCTGAAACCAGCCTGGGCTGTGCACACACCTCGAAGAGAGTTGACCCCACCAGCACCTGCGTGGTCAGCACCCAGGAGGTGGGGCACCCTCACATCTGCCTCACTTGCTCTCCCCATTCTCTCCCCAGAGAGCCAGGGATCAGGCCTCCTGCCCAGTTTTGTCTAAGGCCTTTGATGGGGCAGGACCTAGCATCCTAGCCACTATTTGGGCCAGTGACTTTCAACCCAAGAAAGGGGGAACTTTTTTTTTTTTTTTTTGTACAGGGGATTAAACCCAGGGTCACTCAACCACTGTGCCACATCCCCAGCCCTTTTAATTTTTTTTTTTTTTTTTTTTTTTGAGACAGAATCTCACTAAGTTGTTTAGGGCCTCACTAAATTGCTAAGGCTGGCTTTGAACTTGCAATCCTCCTGCCTCAGCCTCCTGAGTCTCTGAGATTACAGGCATGTGCCATGATGCTCGGTTTTAAGAGGGGGGACTTTTGGAGGATAAGGCAGAATGTGACCCTTGTATAGGCAGCTGCCCTGGACCTAAGTCCCTTTTTGTCCATCCCATCGCTTTGGACTGGTCTGGAGGCACCTTGGGCCAACAGGAGGAAAAGCATGAGCTCCTGAGAGAGGAGGGGAGGCAGGCTAGTTTGGCCTTACCACACTCCACAGCTGTGGGTGGGCAGTGAGTGGCCACAGCAGCCACCACCTTGTTGGAAACATCTAATTAAGGAACAGAGAGCAGCACCAGCAGGGCCTGACCAGTTCTGCTTCCTGCCTCCTATCACAGTGACACTCAGACGTGTGGCATGCTAATGTGCACTCCTGTGTATGCAGCCCAGCAGGGACACACGGGGGTGGCAGGGAGACAGGTTTGGCGGGGTGGGCAGGATGAGGCAATATCCCCACCCTAGCAGCCTTACCTGCCCCTCGCTCAGGACAGAGGTGGCACAGAGAGCCAACCCAGGGAGGCTTCACCCTGTCCATGCTCAGCACCAGCTATGTCAGGTGTGTGTGGAAGGGCAGAAGCAGACAAAGGACACGGGATTGCCTCCCTACGGGTTGGTCCCAAGGACCCCAACCATGAGCCTCCCCTCTAGTGAAGCCAGAGAACAAAGTGTGACAGCTTCTTTTTTTTTAAAATTTGTTAAATTTTTTAGTTGTAGTTGGACACAATATCTTTATTTTATTTATTTATTTTTATGTGGTGCTGAGGATCGAACCCAGGGCTTTGCACATGCTAGATGAGTGCTCTACCGCTGAGCCACAACCCCAGCCCCCCTTTTTCTACTTCTTTTCTTTTTTGGGGTGGAGGATTGAACCTAGGGTTGTGCTGTCTCTGAGCTGCATCCCCAGTCCTTTTCATTTTTTATTTTGAGGCAGGGTCTTACTAAGTTGCCCAGGCTGGCCTCCAACTTGTGATCCTCCTGCCTCAGCCTCCTAAATCTCTGGGATTATAGGTGTGTGCCCCCAGGCCGGGCTAAAACTTTTTTTGGGGGTGGGGGGGTTCTGGGAATCAGACTCAGGGCCGGCTCATGCTAGGCAAGCACTCTACAGTTCATTCTGAGTTCAAACTAACTCATCTCACCTGCTGCCCCTCCTCTCTCCTTTGCTCCAAGGCAGACAGAGCTGGGTTCTGGCTTTGGATTTTCAGGCTCCTCATTCACAACATCCCAAACTGACAGACCCAGGAGAGTAGAGGTCCCTGTTTTGTCCACCTGAGTTGAGAAATGGAAATTGCCGTTCAGTTTTGAATACTTGGCCAAGGTCATCAGTGGCCGGTAAGCTGGCACCGGTAGCTGCCAATGCTGTGCCCCAGCTCACCCAGCCTGGTCCCCTGTGCACAGACATAGGAGGGCAGACAGGCCACTGACAGCTGGACCCCCAGAGCTCCGGCCTGACACCAGCCTGTGTGGCTCAGAGAGAGGTGGGGCGCCAGCTCAGGGGCCAGGCCAGGGCCTGGCGCTGGTGAATCAACCCTGGAATGAGGTGGCTCATTAAAGTCCCCCGGACAGACGGACGCCAGCGCCCGTAGAACGGGTTCTGGGCGCGGGCAGGCACATTCTTCCCCCGTCAGAGCTTTGTTGTGTTTTGAGGGGGCGAGATCTGGGGCCTCTCCCGAAACTTCGGTGCCCTCATACTTACCCAGCCTCCATTGTCCCGGTCCTCTTCCTTCTGCTACATCCCCGTCTGTCCTGCAGAAGAGGTGAGGGCAGCGGCCCTGCCCTGGTCCTCACCACTGTCTTTCCAGCTTGGAGGGGTCGGGGCAGAGGACCTTGCTGGTGGGACTGAAACCCCATATGCACCTCTCTCTCATGCTCCCTCATCCTTTCTGTCCCAGGACTGTCCCTCTTGATTTGTCTTTCTGAAATTTATAGGTTTTAAGTTCAGACCTTAGGATGTACTGAGATTTTAATTGAAATATTAGACCATTTGCCCAGCTCTGCCGGCTTCGAGACTTGACTCCTCTGGGTCACTTCTCATCAGGACCAGGGCTGAGGGTCTGCAGCCAAGCCTCCCTGGCCCGTTTACTGTGATGTGTCTGCTGCAGGGAGTGGCTGCCAGGTATCGGTGCCACCACTGCCTGAGGGAGCCCAGCCTGGCTGCCACAGCAAGCGGTCCGCTGTGGGGGAGGGTTGCATAAGCGCCGGGCAGGCTGCCCGAGCATCCACCTGCTGCTCCCTGACCTCCTCCCTCTCCACCCACCTGGCCTGTTTGCCTGCAGAGCTGGGCTGGGCTGGAGTTGGGAGCCTGGAGCCCTGATGGGCTATGACAGCAGGGACTAGCAGGCTAGAGGAGGAAGGGTCTAGAACCACCTAAAAACCCAAGGCCAATGGCTAAATCTGCCTGGAGGAGAGGCCTGAAGGGGCCCAGACCATCACCCTCTGGGGCCAGGATGGCTCTCAAGGAGTTGTCCTTGTCCAGGGCCTCCAGTGGTGCCCTTTGTCCCAGCAGGAGCACACACAAGCTTGGAATCCAGAGGGACTGGCCCAGGTGGGGCAGGCCGATAGGTCTGCAGCCATAATTGGCAGGGCAGTTTGGTCCTCCCAGTTCCGCTAAGACACAAATTACTCAGCGGGCAGTGGCGCTTGGCTGGCGTCACCTGTAATTTCCTTAATGGGGCAGAAGGGAGGCGTACCACATGGTGGATGGGCGAAGCCCCACTCTACATGCCTGTGAGAGCTGCGACAGAGGCTCTAGCCACCTTCTTGTTGGAGAACCTTCCTGAAATCCTCACCCGGCTGTTCTCTCCACAGTCAGCCTGGGCTTCTGCCCACCACAGCCCTACCGGGAGCCAGAGCCATCAGTGGCCGAACCCCCTTCCTGCCCCCTGGCTTTGGACATGAGCCTTCGGGACTCCAGCTATAGTACGGCCCCAGGAGCCTGCGTGGTGGCCCAGCTGCCCTCTGAAGATGTGGGCCGCCTGACTGACCCCCAAAGCAGAGATCAGGGCTTCCTACGCACCAAGATGAAGGTAATGACTGTCCCATTGTCTCAGGGACCAGGGGCACATATGGAGACCTATGTCCAGCCCATGAGATATGGTGCCAATGAAATGTAGGCAGACTGACCTGGGCCCTGGGCCAAGGCTTCTGCAGAGAAGAATTTAACTGCAGCACAGATGGAAGAGACGTAAGTCTGAAGTGAGAACGTCCACTGACCGCATGGTTTGTCTGGCCACAAGCAGCAAGGAGAGCTGTAGGAAGAGCCCCCCAAGGCAGAGAGGCAGGAGTCTGGCCTGGCTGCATCTCCTGTCTGGGTCGCATTGAGCATGAGGTCTGAGTGGCCTAGCAATTGACTATTCCCTGAAGCAGCAACCACCTTGCCCAGATCTGTGTCTCCAGCCTGATCAGTGTCTAAGGACATGACTAGAGCTGGGCCTGGGTGAGCAGCCCTGGCACCCTACGCAGTACAGGCACGAGGCAGCGCAGGTGCCCCTGCTCCCAAGGACACCACCAACAGCAGGCCCGGCCTGCCTGAGTCTGCACTCCGGAAACTCCAGGGTGGGGAAGCATCTGCACAGTGATCTAGGGAAGGGTGCTCCTTTAGTGATGTCCTGTGTCACCAAAGACTGGAACACCATATTGCAACTGGGAGGGAACACAGTGCTCTCTGTGCCCCTGATGCCCTTCCCCTGACTCTTGGACCCCTGTGGGTGGGGAGAGTAGAGGAGTTGGAGGACTGTATCCCGACATTTCCCAGGTGCCAAATGGGAGGTGTAGTGCGACAGAGGCCCAGGATCTCCGGAGGAGTGGCCAGAGACAGGCCACCCACAGAGTACAAGCACCCTCTGGATGGTAACAGAGGTGAGAGTAGAGACTCCATCATCCTGGCTGTTCAGCCACTCCTGTGCTGATCTCACCTGGGGAGCTGCTGTAGCCACTCTGAGCAGCATACTTTCCAAGGTGTTACATGCACCCAGGTCTTGCTTCAAATGGACAAGGCAAGGGAAAGCAGGGTAGACGAGAAGGAACAGGAGTGGCCCCGAGTGACAGGCACAGGCTTGTGATATTGTCTCCATACTTTTGTATAAATTTGAAATCTTCCATAATTAGAAAAACATCAGAAAGATTTACAGGCCAGAGGATGGATGGCACAGGGGTTTGACCCACACCATGCCACCTGGCTCAAGTGAACCAGGGAGCTGGCTGGCCTGGGCCAGATTCTAGTCTTGCTGCATGCTTCAGTCTGTAGGCTGTGATTGAGACCCTTTCCCTGGGTGGTCATCTACTCTGTCACAGAGGCAGAACAGGAATGAATTAATAGACACTAGAGACATGCAGATTTAGCCTCCATGAAGAGTGAAGTTGTCTTTGGACGAACAACTGTCTCTGGGTAGTTCAGTTGCCTGTCTCCAGTGGTTAAGGAGGGCCTGGGTAATGGCCTCAAAAGGGAACTCAGGAACCAAGCAGGATGCTTGGCCCATGATGCAGAGGTTCCTTTGAGCCCCTAAACTGCCCATCTTTGAGCAGAAGGCCCAGGGCTGTGGCCTGTGGACATAGACACTGCTTTCCTCAGGGCTAGGGGTCGGCAGTCCCAAATTCTGGATGTTTGTCACAATGCTGTCCTTGCCCACAGGTGACCCTGGGGGACAGTCCTAGTGGAGACCTCTTTACCTGCCACATCTGCCAGAAGGCCTTCACCTACCAGCGTATGCTGAATCGCCATATGAAATGTCACAATGATGTTAAGAGGCACCTGTGCACATACTGTGGGAAGGGTTTCAACGATACCTTTGACCTCAAGAGACACGTCCGAACCCACACTGGTAAGCACAGGCCCAGGCCAGGAGGGAGCACCCCAGGACTGCCTGACCCAGGCCATGTGGGAAGATTCCATGGTGGGAGGGGCATCCTGCAGCTCAGGGTAGAAGTCCTCCTGAGATCAGGGATGTGGACTTGATTTGAGAGTCACTCGGGAAAAGTGGTGATGGACAGGCTTCATCCATCCCTCTGCCTGAGTCAGATGTCCTGACCTTTCTGTGTCTGGATGCTGCTGACAGGCTCCAAGGTCCCTTGTCAGGTCCCTGATGCTGGCCCCTGTCTTGCTTAGGTGTGAGACCCTACAAGTGCAGCCTGTGCGACAAGGCCTTCACCCAGCGCTGCTCCCTGGAGTCTCACCTCAAGAAGATCCATGGCGTGCAGCAGAAGTATGCGTACAAGGAGCGCCGGGCCAAGCTGTATGTGTGCGAGGAGTGTGGCTGCACGTCTGAGAGCCAGGAGGGCCACATCCTGCACCTGAAGGAGCACCACCCTGACAGCCCGCTGCTGCGCAAGACCTCCAAGAAGGTGGCTGTGGCCCTGCAGAACACTGTGACATCCCTACTGCAGGGCAGTCCCCACCTCTGAGCAGCTCAGGCTTGCTGCCCAGCCAGTCCGCCCTCCTGTGGCCTCTCCTCACAACCCTGACATCAGGACTGGAGTCCGTGCAGTCCCCCTCACTCAGGCTGATGCGGACCTCGGCTATTTCCCTGTTTGTCTTATGGGCAGAGTTGATCTGCACCTGAAAGACACGCAGATGTCTGGGCAGGGGTGAGGCCAACGGATTAGCAGCTGCCACCTACAGAGTCAGGCACCAGGACTTCCTTCACAGAGGAAATGCGTGAGAGGGGATCTTGTTGCCCTGGGCCCTGAGTGCAGGACAGAGGCTGCAGGTCCCCTTGGATAGCAGAGTCAAGAACACTGGCGAGGAGCACCCTGCAAAGACCCACGTGGGCACTGGCGGAGGCTTGTGTGCCTGCAGGCCACGCATGCGTGCACAGCCGTGTGCATATGTGTGTGCAGCACTGCTCTGTGCGTGCTCAAATAGGTGTGCCACTCGTTTGTGTGCACAGGTGCACACAGGAGGCTTCTTCACGTATCACCTCATTTTTTAAAAAATCAAGGTGCCAGGGAGGTTTTATTTCCTTTTTTAAAAGATGACAAATGTACAGATATTAATATATATTTGGTGCCCATGGCGACTGTTTTTAACAGAGGGATGGAGCTGGCTTTTCTCCTCCCTGTATGGTTCTATTTATTCTGGACATTTCAAACTTCTCTGTGCCTTGGGTCTGGGGCTCCTGCCCCAACCACCCCTGTTCCCTGAGATCTCCACTGAAGACCTCCTCGGGCCCTGCAGAGGGTGCGCTGCTCCTCCTCTCCTTCCTCTTCTCTGGGCAGCACCTCACTTCTGCTCCTCCCTCGGGCTCTGCCTCCCAGATCCTCTCCCGGCAGTCCCCAAGTTTCCTGAAGAGCCTGCTGGCACTGTTCGTTGGTGGTCCCAGGCTGACGACAGAGGTCAGCCAGGCAGGATGGGGAGTCTGTGACGGGGAGGCTGCTACTTGCGGTGCTGTGGCGCACACAGGAGGGCTGGAAAGCCAGCCCTTTTCCTGGGCGAGTCAGACACCCGAACACAGCAACCAACAGTTGGCACCAAAAAATCAAGACAACCGAAACTTCCAGAGGGAACAGAGTGTGAGATGGCTAATAAATTCTCTCTGTAGCCTTTTTCCTGACTGTTTTCTAAATGGCAAAGCTGGGTTTTGAGTACCTGAGCTGGCTGGCTCCTCTGAGCAGTGGTCAGGCTCCCTCGGCGTCGTTGGGTTTCCTGCTGATATCAGCAAAGTGCAGTGAGTCAAAAGGGTGTTTTTCTAGTGGGTCAGAGGAGATGGGCAGAGGCCACAGCCAGCCTGCCTCCCTTGCCCTCCAGCAGATCCACCAGAAGGCCACAGAATGGAGCAGACTGGGCAGCCTGAGCAGCCCACGGAAGCCAAACCCATCAGAACCGCCATGGCCTCCCTGCTGCGAAGGTGCAGCAACTCTGTGGACCCCAGCTCTACCCCACTCCAGGCTGAACTGAAAGGAAACAGCTTCTTGATCGGAGCTGGATATAGACTAACTCTGCAGACCAGTTTCATTTTACTGTTGTGTGTGTGGAAGCTGCTCGATTCTGAAAGTTCTAGAGTTTAGCTGGGAGCGGTTTGTGTTTACATTTCTGTCTCTCTGGGTTCATTACCAAGCTGAAGCCTCATGAGACTTTTTTTTTTTTTTTGACTTATTTTATAACCTTCCCTTCGACTAGTAAAATCAGAAAAATAATGTTTTCTGTGTTGTGTTCTGATTTTCTATCTTATGAGTCTTTTTTGCAGAGAAGTTCATCAAAACAATTGCTGCACTCTACCCAGACCCTGTCCCTTTATGGTTACCGTGGGCTGGAGGCAAGGCAAGACTCTGACCCAGCTAGATTAAGTGACTGCCAAGGCCTCACCCTACTGGTGCTTCTGCCCCACCCAGCCTGCTCTGCTCTGAGGCAGTGGCAGCTGGGGCCCTCTTCCTGGGCTCCCTTCCTCCGCCCACCACCCCAGGATCCCAACCAAGAGTCTCCACCACCCAGAACCTGCAGCTTTCCACAGTGGCTCTGCCTCTGTCCTAGCCTCTTCTTAACACCCTGCCAGGATGGGAGCAAAGGAGGAGGAGCTGCAGTCACTTCCAGTCAGACACGAGGGAGGTCTGAACAATGCACACCCTAGGGATGGCCACACTCACAGTGCTGATCAGTGCCAGGCACACTCATGAAAGAAGTCAGGGAGGGGAGCTGGCCCAAGGCCTCAGGCCCATTAGCAGTGAGCTGGGCTAGAACAGACAGCCCGGCGATGTGTGCCTGAAGTGCTGTTCCTGCTGCGGGATAGAGAACTGGGAGAAGAGAGTGGCACCTCTCAGCACTCAAACTGGAGGGAACTTTGGAAATTACCTGGCTTGCCCATCACCTACCCAAGATCACTCTGGAAACTCTGGTCCCTGAGTCCTAGTTCAGGGTCATTCCATCACTCCCTGGACAGATGGATGGGGAGGAGAGTTGCCAGGCTCTGGCCACCGGTGTATGTCCTGGGAGGCATTTGAAGGCTGGTGCCTGGACGTGTGAGGAGAAACCTCATTGTGAGAAGCCCAGACCCCATTTCACACACCTGAGTGGAGAGAGTCCACTGTGGGGGCGCAGGTGATTAAGTGCTATGCCAATTTCCTCAGCAGGGTTGGCCCAGATGGTCACATTTTGAAGGCTTTAAGGTTCTTAAGACTCTTCAGAGCAAGCCAGTGCAAGAGCCTGGGAGAGAGAGTCAGAAATGGTGTGACCGAACCACAAGGCCAGGCAACCCTGAAATGAATCTTTTGCATCTTGGAAGAGGGGGCACCAGGTGGGGAAGATGGGAGGACCCGGCCAACAGAGGAGGACACAGGGTGGGAGGGGAGAACTGGAGGAAGGAGCGGGGCCCACCACCCGTCCCACGCTGCAGTCAGTCAGTCTTACCACAGGGGTTTTGGGAGACCTGCCTGGGTGCCAATGAACACTGAGAATAAAACAGGCCTCAGGGGCACAGGGGAGCTGGCAAGGCCTCATTAGGAGGGAAGCAGAGTCCTGCTGTCCTCAGAACAAAGCAGCAAGCGTCAGGTAGGGAACTTTAGGGCTGCAAGTGCTCCTCATGGTTTATACTCCAGAGTTGAATATCTTCTCTAACAATTTTACAATGAGTATGTTATTTTGTTATTTTTACTATTGGAACAACAACAACAACAAAAAAAAAAACTAAGAGGTTTGCTGGGCACAGTGGCGCATGCCTGTAATCCCAGCGGCTTTGAAGGCTGAGGAGAATTGCAAGTTCAAAGCCAGCCTCAGCAAATGCAAGGTGCTAAGCAACTCAGAAAGACTCTGCCTCTAAATAAAATACAAAAAAGGGCTGGGGATGTGGCTAAGTGGTTAAGCGCCCCTGGGTTCAATCCCTGGTACCAAAATTTAGATCTAAAGTTTGATACATCAACAGGGAGATGGGGCTGACTCCCCCAGCCAAAAAAAAAAAAAAAAAGAAAAAAGAGCAAAGAAGATCTTGGACGTTATCAGAGGTGTGGCCTCACCACACTTCATGTGCCTCTGCTTTGGGCTGGTCCCCAGAGTCAGCAAGTGGAAGGGAAAGGGCTTTGGCCTTCATCAGGAGACAAGGCTTGCCTAGCCCTCTCCCACTATCTGTGTGACTTTGGACAAGTGACAACCTCTCAGTTTCCTCATCTATAAAATGAGGTGGATCCTAAGTTCAAATGACCCTCTCTGCTCTGAAGCCTCTGGGCGCCTATCTTGGTAAAGCACAAGACGAAGCCCCCTGACAGACTGCTTCAGAGATGTGGACAACAGAAGTTGGGAGGTACCATGAGGGGAGGAAGGCCACCAAAAGGCCACCAGCCCAGGCGGCAGGAAAAATTTGTCCATTTGGGCTTCCCACAAGGCAGAACCCTGGGTGAGCAAGAGTTAGAGGGGCATTGACCTGGTCTTAGAGGGCAAAGGACCTTACTGAGCCCCACACAGCTTGACCCTGGGAGGGAGGAGCCGGCACCGTCTTCAGAGCCTGGGAAGCCATGTGAAGAATCTCTGAGTTCTCAATTCTAGGACCACACAGGCTGGAAAAGTGATCCCCAAGCTCTTCCACCTATGAAATTTTATAAGGTCCGGCCAAAGTGCCATGGCCATGACCTTCAGGTCCAAAGGCCATTCCCACAAAGGCAGATCTGGTGGGAATGCTGGTGAACAGACCAGGTATGAGAGAAAGCCCAGAGAAGGGTGAGAGCAGGTGCAGGCTGTGCCAGCTCTGGGTTTGGGGTGCTGATGGCCTGGCTTGTTGTGGGAAGGGGCTCCCCTTCCTATACTCTGGGTCCAGCCCCTGGGGCAATGGCTGCCACTTGACCCAGGATGTCCCACTCTCACGTCCAAAACCAACCCGCTTCCTTCGTGCCCCCTGACAGCCCCTTCCCCGTCCTGAAGTCTGTCTTGACGCCCACCCTCCTTCGGCAGTGAGGCTCCTTGGGCACCTCTGGCCCATCTTGGTGCTCTTGCTCGGCCTCCCTGTGTCCTCTAGGCCTGAAGATCCCCGGGGCAGTGTCTGTGGGCTGCAGGCTCCTGGCATGTGGGCAAGTGGCTGCCAGCAGGAGGGTAGGCTGAGTCAGGTGTGGAGATCGGGTTGGGCATAGGAGGCACGTTGAAGTAGGTCTCCGGGGCTGTTCCCTGAGCATAAGAGCTGGGAGGCAAGTGGCTGTTCCGTGTGTTCCTGACTTCTTCTCACTGAATACAGTTGTCCCCGCTAGCCTCAGGGGATGCATTGCAATCCCCCAGTGGATCCCTGAACCACAGAGAGTACTGAACCCTGTGTACACTGCTTTTTTTCTATCACAGAGACCTATGATGAAGTTTATAAATGAGGCACAGTTAGAGATTAACAGCAGCTAACAATCAATATAACAATTACAACAGCATACTGTGATAATGTGTGCATGTGCACTCTCTCTCTCTCAAAATACGGAATTTTCCATTTAGTATTTTAAGACTGTGACTGACTTTGGACAACTGAGACCAGGAATAAGCGGGACTGCTGTAAAATGGTGCATATGCTCCTTCTTCATTCTTTTAAAATAGAATAAAACAAAATCAGGAATCTTAAAATGTACTCAGATGTGGGGGGCGGGGGGGAGCCAGGTCACTGTCACTGTGCAAAACCTCAAATGCAGGCTGCTTACCTGTGTTCAGACTCCCTCCTGTCTGAGGACTTGAGGGGCATTGACACGCCACCTCCCACCTAGAGAGGACACCATGGCAGGTGAGTGTCACTGAATGTCCAGGCTGTTAGGTAACTCCACCTGTTAGTGTCACAGCGGCATGTCCCATCCCATAGAACAGCAATTGGGGTGTAGGTCCTAGGGCACCGAGAGAGGCCACATGTCACTTATTAAAAACCTGAGTCCTCAGAGTTAGGTTTTGCTTTAGGCACACATGTAAACATTCCTGTCACCACAGCTAATCATCCCTTGCATTTATTGAGCTCCTACTACGCGCGGGCAGTTTCAAGCTAGGCTTCCCTATGATGTCATCGCTGATCCTCACAACAACCTAAGGAGGTAGTTATTATTGTGCCTATTTTTAGACAAAGAAATTGAGGCTCAGGAAGATTAACCATCCTGTTTAAGGTCACACAACGCTAGTGAACAATAAAACCAGATTGATCAGAGGTCTGCTGGACTCCAGAGGTTGGGCTTTTGACTATGGAATGAGAGATCTGCATTTGTTCTCTGGACACTGAGCACCTACAATATGCCAGGTGCTCTGTGGAGGTTTTTTGGGATGCCAGACTGAACAAAATGACCTTGTTCCAGAAGTTCACATGGGTAGTGGGAACAAACAGGCCCCAGCCAATGCAGGACACACCAGCAGTGAGAACAGAAACAGCTGGCTCCTCCTGGGACCCAGCTGACCCTGCTACAGACTCCAGCCTAGAACAGAAATCTCTAAAGTTCCAAATGTCATCCCTTGATGACAGACATGAGGAAAAAGGAAGGAAGGAAGAAACATGAGCAGGGTTGAGTACCCACCTTCTGTCCATCTGGTGTGTTGAATGGAATCTCCTTGAAACTTCCAACAACCCTGAGGTGTCGGTACGTTACTGTCTCTTTATAGACAGGGACAGTCTCCGACATCACATTGTCTTCCCCAAAGTGTGGAAATAGAAGAAAGGAGAATGGACACCCCAAGGCTCCACTATAGGGCAAAGCCAAGGCCTCAAAGGGGACCAGGTGCTAGTCTGGCTCCTGCCAAGGAATGCCAGGTGTGTTTGTTCCCCCTAAAGTTGCAGCTACACTGTCTTTTAAACACTCCAAACCTGGAGAAGGGGCGACAGAGCGGAGAGAAGCTGCTCAGGTGATCCAGAATGGGGTGGGACATTCCAAAGCCACCAGAGACATGGAGTCCAGCACCAACCCTCATCATACCCGACCTCCACCCTACAGCCCCAGTTTTCAGGTCTTGTAAGAAACTCATGCTGTCCTCACCTCCGCTGCCCGGCCAGTCCAGCCGGCTCCCGCCCAGTCCAGCCGGCTCCCGCCCGGCCCCCTCCCTGTCGCCTCCACCTCTGGGGACTCCAGGTAACAGGCCTGGGCGCCTCCCCTTCCCCACGCGCAGCAGCGGATGAGTTGCTGAAGAGACCAGGAGAACTGGAAGGACTTGAGTCCCTTCTGCCTGCGGCACAAATGACCCGCCAGCGGTAATAACAGGGCAAAGGAGCGGACCGCCTGGGACTGGGGAGGAGGAGGGCGGGCTGCTGCCGGCAGCCTGTGGCCGTGTGCCCACTGCTAAGGGCCTTGCTCAGAAACTTGAGGGTCTCTGTTCTTGCCATGTCACTGCTCAAGCTAAAATTCCCATGTCTCTGCTCTTCCACTGTTCTCCCAGAGTTCTAGGGGTTCACATCGGGGTTTTCTGAAACAGGGGCTCTAGGGTGCAACGTACTCCCCAGGCAGCAGATCCTGTCAGAGGGAGTGGGAGAAGATGAAGGTTCTGGAAGTCAGAATAGAAAGGTTGAGACTACACTCATGGGGTCTGGAATTTCTTTCCTTCTTTTGTATTTTTTTTTTTTTTTGATACTAGGGATTGAACCCAGGGGCGCTTACCACTTAGCCCATCCCCAATGCTTTTTATTTTGAGACAGAGTCATGCTAAATTGCTTAGGGCCTAAGTTGCCGAGGCTGCCCCTGAATTTGTGATCCTTCTGCCTCAGCCTCCTGAGTGTTGAAGCTACAGGCATGTACCACTATGCCCAGAGGGATTTGGAATCCAGCCTGGGTAATTCAGTGAGACCCTGTCTCAAAATAGAAAAGAGCTGGGCATGGAGGCACTAGCCTATAATCCCAACCAATTGAGACAGAAGGATCTCAAGTTTAAGAACACTCTGGGCAATTTACCGAGACCTTGTCTCAAATAAAGGGATGGGGGGCTGAGGATATAGCTCAGTTGGTAGAGTGCTTGCCTTGCATGCACAAGGGCCTGGGTTCAATCTAACACCACAAACAAATAAAAAGGGCTGAGGATGTAACCCAGTAGTAGTACTCCTGGGCTTCAATCACTAGTACCACAAAAGGAGAAAAAAAAAAAAAAAGAAAAGAATGCATGGACTAGGGTTAATCTGTCAAAGAAAAGGAGAAAAGGAAAAACCCAAACACCCATGGTCCAGGTTGGAAGAGTAGGGGTGACGGGGACAACACACACACAGATGCAAAGTGGGTCACTAAGAGGTAATGCTAACGTGTCTTTGCCATATGAAGAGCTCTTGAGCAGAGCAAGGTGGCAGTTGAGTAAGATGCTTCAGTGGTGGGGAGGGGTAAATAGAGTTCTTACACATCCACAAGAAAAATAAAACACACACAACGGAAACTGACAAATTAGTATTAGATATTCATAAAAAACTCTAAGTGATAAAAATCATATGAAAAATACTCAAATTCTTTAATAATCAAATAAATGAAAATTAGATACAATTTACCTATAAATAAAAATCTATAATAAAACAGGTTGCTATAATATTGAAAAAGTAGGAGCAACCTAAATATTTGATTTTAAAGTACATTAAAATTTAAAATATATACTCACTGAATATGATGTTATAAAAACATTTCAGTTAAATGCTGGTAATATATTAAGTTAATACGAAAGTTTCCAAACAGCATCATGGGATGGGTAAACATTTTTGTAAACAAAGTAAGTTCATGTGTACATCATACAAGTAATGGAAGACGACATGCCACCATTTTTACAATGCTGTTATTGCTGATGTCAGGACTATGTTTTTTATTCTGTTCTGCATTTTTATTCTATTCTATTCTATTCTGCATTTTATCTATATTTTAAACTTCTCTATATATTTTTTCTATATTTTTAATGTCTCTATAGAATATAAAAATGTTTTCATATTGCTTTTGCAGGGTAAAGGAAGTTTATTGGTGAATCTGAAGGGTCCTCAGTCAGGAAAACTCATTTTCTTTACCTGTATGTTGCTGAGAAGTAGCCTCTTCTTCTATTGGATGGTCTCAGAAGTGAGGTGAGATGGGGGTGGTTGGGTATGTAGCTCAGAGGCAGAGTGTTTAGCTAGCATTTACCAGGCCCTGGGTGCAATCCCCAGCACCACACACACACACACACACACACACACACACACACACACACAAAGTATAAAGAAGTGAGGGGAGATGGGGATGATGGGAGAAAGGCTAAGGGGACAAATCATCTGAGGGAAGATCCCCAGGAAGGGAATCCTGACCTTGGTGTTACTTTAAAATCTAGGGGAGGGGGCATGACATTGTATGGAAAACACAAAGGACCTGGAGTCAGAGTCTGCAAGTTTGAATCTGAGGTCAGCCAGTTGGCCCTAAGGAAAATACCTTTCTGAGAGTCAATGTCTTTAAAATAAAATAACAGTGATGCAGGATTACTGTGAGGATTAAATAAGATTATGAGTTGCTTTGGAAAGTATAAATCCCTAAACAAATGTTGGATATAATAGTTAATAACATTCATTTATGATTTAACTTGGGCAAGAAAGTGGACCAGCTGCTGTGGGTAAGTTTACACGGGCTGTTGAGGGCATTGGACATGCCGGAGGCAGGAGACAGTTTTCCCACATGGTTCAGACAAACTTTGGTTTGCTGATCCATAGAAATAGAATATAAAAATAAACCTACTCTGAGCTCAGAAGAAGGCTTTTGGCCACCTTCTGATTATTCTCTGAGGAAAGAGTATAAAGCTCCTGTTAAGCTAGGCACACACCTGTAATCCCAACAATTTAGGAGGCTGAGGCAGGAGGATCACAAGTTAGAGGCCAGCTTCAGGAATTTAGCAAGATCCTGTCTCAAAATGAAAAAATTAAAAGGGCTGGGAGTGTAGGAACTCAGTGGTAGAGCGTCCCTAGGTTCAATCCCTAATACCAAAACAAAGAAACACAAATATAAACAAATAAAGCCCAAGAAATTCCTGGTTAGTCACGTGTTGGTCACTGGAAGGAGAAAACAGTACAAAATACAGAGACCTGTGACCTCCTTCACCTGTACTTGTTTACTGATGTTTTGGCAAAATGCCTGAGGGCTGAGTTGGGTGGACCAAGGATGCCAAAGCTTGTCATCTAAGGAGACTGGGAGAGGCTGGGCGTTGATTCCAGTTAGATGGGTCCCCACCCTGCACGAGGCAGGTACACCTGCACATGACTCATACGCCCCCTCCTGTCCACGCCAGTCAGCTAGTTTTTGCCATCCCACTCTGGGCTTTCACACTGTATGGTCCCAAACATCCGCTTTCTCCATCCTCCTAGACGGAATGGCTGAATTTATCATAACAGCTCTCCAGGTACTGGCCATTTTGGAGAATAGTTCTCGACTGTACCACTCCACGTCCTTCAAATCAGGGACAGAATCTTCATTCTTCCCTTTGCTCCTTCCAGGACACCCCACCCCCATTTTTCCATTTTCAGGGTCTTTTTAGTCCTCTTTCTTTCCTCCTTCCTTAGCTTCCTGCTCCTTCTGTTCACCTCTCTGTCTCTTGATCCAGCCAGCATTTACCTCTGTGCCCCTTATGTTATAGGCACCTCCTACCAGGAGCCCCTGAATGCCAGGTGAGCTCAAGTACAGGGAGGACCCAGTCATAGGGGAGGGGCCTGCCTCTTCCCACCAGAGCCACCAAAGCTATGGGCTCAGGAGCTTCTTTATCCCCCTCTCCATTCATGATCCCGTCTCTGAATTCTCCTAACACTGCTGCCAATCCCAGCTACTCCCCTCCCTCTCCTGTGGGAGCTTTGGATTGGTCCCCGCCTGCTGGTGCTGACCTGCTGACATGCTGCTGGTGCTGACTTGACACCGAACACCGTGGCCAACATGGTTTCCCCCGGTGAGTGGAGAGGTACCGGGTGCTCAATCAGGGTGGGGACAGGCAGACAAGGAACAGCCTGGCACTTGCGTTTTGGAGGCTGCACGGCTGCCCCTCCATTCTTGGCTCTTCTGTATATCCCCGCTATCCAGCAGGGTGTCCAGACAGGAGTTCTTCCTGCCTCCTTCATTCCTTAGAACCCCACCCACTATATGTTTTCTAATCTGAATCTTATTTCGAAATCTCCTGCCCGAGGGGTTTCCCAACCCCTCCTAGTTTTGAACCAACCTGCTGATCACAGCACTCCCAGATGAGGAATAGAGATGTTAGGTGGGACCTGGCATGCCATTGTGCCCTGGAGACGCTCTTGTGCCTGCAGCAGTCGTCGAACTGGTGGCATATGGGCAGGAAGGGGAAGACCAAGTAGGGTCCAAACTGAGAACAAAGACTGGCGGAGGGCAGATGGCAGCCCAGCCCTGTTCTTCCCCAAGGGCAGCAGGTACAGGTCTGGTCTGCATCAAAGTGATTCTGTCCAGACAGCCCATGGAGTCCTCGCTCCCATGGGAAGATGCCTTTTAGTTCCCACCTTTGACTTTATGGGCTGGACTTGGGGCAGCAGGAACCCTGCCACAGGAGCAGCCTCACTGAGAGCTCGTCAGTCTTCCATGTGCCCCACTGAGGCCATGGGGCATGATCATTCTCCAGAGGAAGCAGAAGGGCAGCTATCGGGTTAGAGTAGCAACCTGGGTCCTCCATCAGGTTCTAATTTTTAACCTTGATTTTTAGTTAAAAAAATTTATGCAAAGCCGCACTTCTGCATCCAGATCCCAGACAGCCGATCCCTTCATGCAAAGGAGCAGAGTGGAATCCTGATCGAGGCTCCTGCTCTCCGTCTCGGAGGGGAACGCTGCAGACTAAGCCTTCTCTCCAGTCCTCTGAACCAAGGAGAAAAAGTACTGGATACCACACTTGCTTTTATTCCTGGCACATGGTATCACTCTTGCTTCACTTTGTCTCAGCCCAAAGCTAAAATTGGTAGCAATCACACAGAGAACTTTCTCCTGTCTCCACCCCTCCACGCACATGTGCACACACGTACACACGCAGCTCCCAGGAGTGCCACATGGGAGATGGCACTTGGAAAAGGGCCACTTGGAAAAGCAGGGGACAGGGGTTCTCATCTTCCCGGACCAGGACCTGCATGATACCAAGTCTCCTGAAATTGTTAGCTGTTGACTTGGCCAACCTAATCTCAAATCCAAAATGCTCAGAAGACAATCTAATGGCACACACCTGCACAAATAAACAATAAGGCTTACTGTGCCCTTGTGGGTACCAATGGGTCAAGTTTGGCTCAGCTTTTGAACTCAATCTAAACTATCAGAACATCAGAGACTGCCAGAGCCAAGGACCATTCCTAAAAAAAATCAGGTGTTGGTCCAGTTTGCCCTGCCCAAAGTTTTTCTTTTTTTTCTTTGTACTGGGATTGCCAGAGCTCCTTTTATCTTTATTTTGAGACAGTGTCCTGCTAAGTTGTGGAGGTTGGCCTCAAACTTGAGATCCTGCTGCCTCAGCCTCTCGAGTCACTGGGATTACAGGAGCGTGCCAAGGCACCAGGCAGGGTAAAGGCTTTTGAGGTCACTTGTATATCTTCTTAATGCATTGGCTACCAGGCCTTGTTGGTCCCAGTGTGGCAGTTCACATTTTTTTTCCTAAGAACATCTTTTGGAATGTTCTGTTCACTTTGCATGAGTTAAACTAATTAGTATGATTTAATGTCTCCTCCTCTAGGCTCTAGAGCCACAGAACCATCCTCACAATCTCCCAGTTTCTGCTGTATCCTGTCCATACTCCAATCACCGCCAGGCTCCTCTCAGCACGTTCAATAAACTCCCAGTGGGCTTCTGAGCTAACGCCAAGTCTCCTGCACCTTTTCTCCCTCCTGACATCATCTTACAAGATTCCTCTGTCCCTGAGGCTCCACTGTGGGTGAGTGACCTGCACGGGGACAATGGTTCCTTCTCTAGGGCACAGCCATAATATCCTTCTCATAAGAAATCCAGCTTCTTTATCACCCATGCAAGGAGTGTGGTCAGGGCAAAGGAGACATCTAACAGTCCCTAACAATAACTGAGTGATGGGCTCAGTGAAGAGCCATCATCCAGGAGAGTCCATGTGGAGAGGGCTACCTGGCCAAGCCGCAGCTGTCCTGTGACCACACTTCTCCTTGCGGCGGACACAGCATCGTCACCTGAAAAGCATATGGCATCTAGGTTACAAGGCTTGAGGCTGCCTTGATGTCCCTGGTCCCTGGCTGTCCTGAGCAGAAGGTGGGGCTTCCCTGCCCTGTCACCCTGACGCCTTCCTGCACAAGTGAGCAGTTTAACCATTTCCCTGCCACCTCATCTTTGAAAACATCTCATAAAAGCGCATCAGAGGAAACAGCCTTTTCATTCCACCTATTATTAGTTCCCGGAACAGAGGCTGGAAATATGCAGTCGACCTGGAGGTGATGAGCAGACACGAGTGGCAGAGCTACCACTTAACCCATTTCTAGAAACGATTGTTGATATCAAATTCAGGGGCCACCAACTCCCACCAACACGACCACGTGCCACTGTGTCAGTAGCATCCCTTCTGTCTTGGGCATCATTCCAGGCCAATGGACAGAAATTCTGGTCAGAGGGCATCTGTGATGAAGCACATGTAATAATGCATGGGGCTACGTGATGACTGACATAGTTAAAGGAGTTTATAAGGATTATCTCATCCATCTGACCAGCATCGCAAGAAGGAAGGAAAAAAAGGGGAGGGGGAGCTCTTATGAACCAGCCACCTAAACCGTCAGTGAAGGAATGAAAATGAACTCAGAAGCCCTTTCTCTGGCCCCTTGGCCAAACCAAATCAGACAGACACAGGATTTTTTTTTTTTTAAGAGGATGATTCTCAACTCCGGCAGTCTGAGAGTCTGACAGTTAAATGATTTCAAGAGATGGACTGCACTTGATCCCTCTACACTGCCAAGGGTACCAAACCACAAATCGCTTCCCTGCCTTCCACAAACTTCATAAATAACAGAGACGCTCACTTGAATAATTAAAAGAAAAAACTGTCAGCCAAGTAGTTTAAGGCGGCTTAGGTGTGGCTGGAAGCATTCTGTGTATTTTCTGTAAAGCCAAACATGTAGACAGTCAAAAATACTACTTTAATGAGCTTATAAATTTAGAGTGACGCTTCACAGCTACAGCGAGGTCTAGGGTTCAACTATTTTGTCTTTGAAATCAAAGCGGCTGCCATGAGGCATTCACCCCATTGCTTTGTCCAGGATGACGCGGGCTTCTTCCTGGCAGCTTGTTCTTGTACCCAGATAACTGACCCAGACAGCTCTACCTCCAGCATTTTGTGCAGGGAAAACTAACTCTTGGTATTGGGAGATGTTTTCTGACTTCTTAGCTCTTTCCTTCCTTCCCCCTTCATCTGCTCCCAGCTTCCCAGAATGCCTCTCAGCCAAGGCTGTTACCCTCAACAAACTTGAGTGCTTCTCGGAAGAGATGGGCACTTGTCCTGGTCAATCCTACAAGTTCACAAGTTTCTCTAATGCTCAAGTTCAAAGCACTCTAATCTCAGTAATCATGGTTTGTTAAATGTGTTTCTAGCTTTTCCTATCTACAATATTTCTAAACAATTTAAGTGAGCTTAAAAGAGATTTACATAATGTGCCACAATTTGGCAAATGAATGTTGTACATAGTGTCTTGCTGACAGGGTAGGTCTAGTGTAGGAACACCCTGTCAGCAGCGCTGTCCCACATGCGGCTGCTTCGATTCCCACATGGCCTCCAGGGCCCCACAAGGCACAAAAGGAAAGGGCGAGGTAATGCATCTGCGACTTCCTTAGACCTCAAGGTACACACCTGTTCTTCTCAGTCCGTTGGCTTTTCAGAACCAATATTTGGATACCACTTCCATATTTTCCTTTATTCCCGATTCGTGCCAGCCTGGAGACCAAGACAGAACGAGTCTTCAGATGAACACTTGGCCATCAGTTTTTCCAGAGCCCCAGGACAGTGTTGCTAATATTCATGGTTATGTGTGACCTTGCTGTCTCTCTCCACAGAACTATCTGTTAATTAAACAGACAGACAACCTTACAATTAGGTCAACTCCCTATACTCTGACTTAAGCCCTGGGTTCCTTTCTCTCCAGGATTTGAGTACTCAGAGGGAATGTCTCAATGGCCAATATGCAGAATGTTCTCCTCATGCCCCTAGAGGACTCCTCAGTCAGTAGCCACCCCCTGAATATCCCAGGACTTCTGGCACCTGAGCCTCTTACGGGATCTTCTGTTTTTCTGTCTCTATTGTTCTCACTGATTTTCCTATGCTGTTGAGGATAGCATCTAGACAAAGAGAAGCCTCAACCTATGTGTGCTGGTTATGTGGCTCTGGGAAAACCATCATGACATGCCAAGCATTCGTGGTGCAAAAGTTCCCAGTCCCTTAGCCAAGTGCTATGACACACATCTGTAATCCCAGCAACTGGGGAGGCTGAGGCAGGAGGATCGCAAATTCAAAGCCAGCCTTAGCAGCTTATCAAGGCCCTAAGCAACTTATTGAGACCTGCCTCAAAATAAAAAACAAAAAGGGTTGGGAATGTTGCTCAGTGGTTCAGTCCAAACTATAATAATAATAATAATAATAATAATAATAAAAAAGTTTCCAATCCTACTCTCCTATCCCCAAACCAGCTGAGATACAGACAAGCCCTTGGCCAGGGTAACTTAGCTCCATTAGATAAGCATCTAGAATCCATGCTATCTCCCTCCCAACTGAATGAGTGCCCAACTGTCACCTCCCATGGCTCCTTGAGACATCACTAAGTACAGCCTAGGGGTGACAGCTTCCTTCAGGGAGCCTACCATCACCTGAGAGCGCCACTTCAATCTCCCACCCTTGCAGGTGCATAGGAAAGAGGTGTCCTGCCATGTGGCAGCCCAGAGCCAAATGGGAAGAGTGGCCTCAGGAAGTGGGCAAGGCCTGAGAAACAGAGGAGCTGCCCGAGATGCCAGCACAGGGCTGAGTTGGAAGGCTGGGTGAGAAACTGTATGACAACACAGATATGCATTCTCAGCAGTGATCAAACTCCCACTAGCTTGGCAATCTTCCTTTCTCCTCCTCCTCCTCCTCCTCCTCCTCCTCTTCCCCCTCCCCCTCCCCCTCCCCCTCCTCCTCCTCTTCTCATCTCTGCAATACCTGTTTTCCTCTGGGCACATGAAACTTTTGCTTTCTCTCTTCTTCCATCCAATTCCGAGGTGAGAGAAGTGAGGAGCAGAGTTCTCTGACTCTGCCAGCTCAGATCATGAATGTATGAATTGTTCTGCTCAGACACACCAAATACAACCAATAGATGTGTTGATGGGACATTCACAGAGTGGACAGGAAGCACAACAGTGACAAGCTGTGAAAGACACACGCCCTGCCCCTCTGAGCTTTTGTGGGATTAACAGGCTAGCATGGATATATCTGGCTTTTTGCATCTGCTTTTATAAATGTCTGCACGAGGTCAGATTTTTCTAAGTGGAAGACTCATCTCATGGCGCTAAGCCTTGTGCTCACTGACTATGCGCTCTGCCTCTGATCTACACCTCCAGTCCCAAAGACTCAAGTCTTTCCTACTGGGTAATCAGACCTTGATTTTCATATTATAAGACTGATTTTCCATGGATATCTCTGGTTTTTCTGTCCTCCATCCTACTAAATGCTCCAGAAGAGCTCCATATTTAAGTAAGCCAAGTATGAATCTACAGTAGAGACCATTTTTTTAAGACAGAGAGAGGAGAGAGAGAGAGAGAGAGAGAGAGAGAGAGAGAGAGAGAGAGAATTTTTAATATTTTATTTTTTAGTTCTCGGTGGACACAACATCTTTGTTGGTATGTGGTGCTGAGGATCGAACCCGGGCCGCACGCATGCCAGAGGAGCGCGATACCGCCTGAGCCACATTGCCTGAGCCACATTCCCAGCCCAGTAGAGACCATTTTTATAAGTAAGTCTTCAACGCGTTTGCGTCAGTGAAGACTGGTATTTCTTTTCTAGAATGATCTCCACCATACTTCCCATTTTCTTCTCATCTTTGATTTTTTTTTATTGCCAAATAAGAAGTTTGCCACCTAAACCACAAAATGGGAGATAATCAATTTCTGCCCTTGATACATCAAGAATCCTTTGGGGTTTTACAAATACAAGTAATCATTATCAAAGGATTTGAGTTATGAAGGAAGAAGGGGAAGTAGAACTATTTCAAGGAGCACAGGGATCTCTGGACCCAGCTCTGCCACTGCTGCCTGGGTCAGGCAATTCTTAAGGAAGAGTGTGTTTAAGAAAACACACTCTTAAGAAATCATATTTTCAGAAATGAGAATTGGTGAGGGTCTTGATATGCCATCAGACAAAGGGCTGTGTTTTCTGTCCCAGAAATGCATATTGTCATGGAAAATAGAGGCTATACAGGTGCCCACAGGACAGCTCTGATAAGAGGCCATTCTCTGTCATATGCAGCTCAGCAATTTCCCAGGGCCTCCAGGTCCCCCATTCTCTCCTCTGGTTTGCCCTCCCTAGACACCTGAGCTTATTAAATTGATTAAAGCAGCTGTTCAAACAAATGTCCAAACTGATCTATCTAGTTACAATTTCCATTTCCATTTTCCCCAAATCAACCTCTTTTTTTTAAAAAAAGAAGTAGGTTAGCAGTAAATGAACATAACTTCACCCACTATTGCCCTGCACTAAACCGGACCTTTTCAGAAAATTAAAAAGTAATTATTCCAAAAGAAGGTTTTATGGTTAAAATAAAACCACAGTCAAAAGCTATTAGAACCTGGACTTTGGGCAAACGCCAAAGAGGGCAGTGCTGGGCATCTTCCTGAGGGGGAGGGAAGGGACTAACCAAAGAAATCTTAAATGAGCATATAAAAAAGTAAGTAAAATGCTGAAACCTGTTCCGCCACCCCACTCCAGTTAGAAGGCACTTTTAACAGCATTAGGAAAGCGAAACCAGTTGTGGGTGGGGTGCAAAGGCTGCCAGATCATCCGCCTGAAGAAACTCCAGGCTGCGCCTACATGAGCGACGTGCGGCCGCCAGGACGCGGGCAGGGTGCGTGGCAAGCCGCGGGCCGGGGAGGGGCAGACCGGGTGTCGGTGGTCACTGGCTCACAGCTGCGGGTGACTCTGACTTGTTATCCTACAATTTGATTAAAGAACAAGCGTTTAAGAAAACACAAGCACGCACTAGCGTAGAGAAGCCCGCAGGCGCTGGGCTCCTGCACCCGGACTCCCCGAGTCGGGCCGTCGGGGCGGCGCCCTCTGCTGGGGCGCTGACGGGCTCCTGCCCCCGGCCAGTGCGCCGCTGCCCTCTGTTGGACAAAAGGCTTTCAGCTCCACCAGGCCGTCGTTGGTTAAAGCGACACGCCAGCTACAACCCCTAGGTGGCGTTAGAAAGGCACAGCCGGCTGAACCTCGGTTTCCACGTCTGTGAAAGGGGCGGGACGGTCATCCTTGCTCCGGTCAAAGGGTCGTTCTCAGGAGCAAATGAATGAGGCCCTGCTGTTTTTACGGGTACCATGCCTGCTTCTGCCCAAACAAAATCCATTTCACTTCCCGAGGAGATCTTTCTCCCCAGTGTCTCTTGCCGTGGGAACACAATTATGTGGCAGCTTTTTCCCCAGCAGCTCTAATAACTTCACTTTTTTTTTTAAACTTTTTGCAGTGCTGGGGACCCAATGCAGGACCTCACACATTTCTAGCCCACACAAATTTTTTAACACAGTATTTACAGCGTTTTTTTTTCTTATAAACATGTATCATAATTAAATTTCCTGTCAATTATCTGTTCAGTGTCTAAACCCCTGAATTCCCAGGGTCTGTCTAGCATTATGCCTACTGTGTACTAGATGCTTGATAAATACCTTTTCTTTTCTTTTTTTTTTTTTTTTTTTTTTTGGTAGCAGTTTTGGGGATGGAACCCAGGGCCTTGGCATGCTAGGCAAGCACACTACCCCCAAACCACACCCCAGCCCTTGATAAATACCTGTTGAATAAGGACAAGGAGGAATCATAGGAACTAGTGCAGGTCAGACAGAAATGGAAAGAACAAAGCAGAAATGGGGGAAATCCTATTTCAGGAGTGACAACATAAATTAATACTGAAAAATATGAGGGCAATGGCAGAATGCCTGGTTAGCATCCCTGAGCCCTGGGTTCCAACCCAGCACCACAAAGTAAATAAATAAATAAGAAAAAAATGAAAAAAAAAAAAAGAGCATGGATGATGGTAAAGTTTTGAACTAGAGAGGTGGTGGCTGGGCAACATTATGAATGCCACTGATTGTAACATATAACAATGTTAACGTTAGGTGAAATTCACCTTGATAATAAGAAAACGAAGGGGCAGAACTGCAATATAATAATTACAGTTAATAATACTTGATGATTTAGCCACTTTACAAATACTTGATGGAGACAACATAAACAGAATATTCCTATACAGTGTTTGATGTTTATACAAATGTTTTCACATAAATGATTCCACTGGTTCCTCCCAATAAGCCCACCACGGGCAGACAAGGACCAGCCAGGACACAGTCAGTCAGAAGCTGCCACTCACCAGGCCACTAACACACCCGGCTGGGAGGCTATGCCCTCCTGCTGCCCTGCCTGGAAAGCACTCCTCCAGACAGCTCCCTGGCAGCACCTGGCCTCCTTCCCACTCTGCTTCAAGTCTCCCCATCAGAAAAGCCTTCCTAAGAGCAGCCCACCTCTCCATTATTGTGCTCTCTCTCTTACCCTGCTTGAGTTTTCTTCAAATATCTTTCATTCTTTTCTTTTAAATTTATTTTTATTTCTAAGTTTTAGTCGTCAATGGATCTTTATTTATATGTGGTGCTAAGAATTGAACCCAATGCCTCACACATGCTAGGCAAGTGCTCTACCACTGAGCCACAACCCCAGCCCCTCTTTTTCTTTCTTTCTTTCTTTTTTTTTTTGGTCTGGTATTGGGGATGGGGTCTTGCTAAGTTGCTTGGACCTCACTAAATTGCTGAGGCCAGCCTCAAATATGATTCTCCTGCCT